GAAAAACTCATTTTTAAAAGAAGAAACCTCCAACAGAACCAGGCTCCATGTATTTGAGATGGCTGCTAACTAGCCTTAGCCGTCCCCAAAGTAGCTTTAACCTTGTTAAATTTACTATGAACTAAAAGTTGGTATAGCAGTATCTGAGAGTTACCCTTGTCACATACGCTAAGTGCTAACAGACTGTGCAACATCTTTACTTACTATATCATGTGGTGAGTCAGGCAACATGCATTCCTTCAAGAAATGCTTCTTTATTATTGTAAAGGAATTCTCCAGGGTAAGCATGAACATCATGGTCAGGGCATTGATATTATAGTCCTTTTTGGCCACGTGAGTCTTGAAAACTGAGAATTAAAGCAATAAAAATTGTGTTGCATTATAATTTCAACAATTAGGAAAAATGTCATCGTTAAAGTACAAAGTTTTCCTCAAAGTTAGAATATGAGAGGAGTAAAACGAGCGCAGACCCCTCTGTGGATTCCCACACTCTAATAGTACTCTCATTTTCATACCACACACACACAAACACACGCACATCCTCCACACTGAAGAAAGCCGCCTCATTTAATACCTCCATGTCATGTCGTCTGAAAGAGAAGCTGCCCGGTCACACGAATCTGGCAGCTGTGTTTGTGCTGGGACAAAGTCAGTGGCTGCAGGGAGAAACTGTTCTGCAGAGCGGCTCTGGATTAGAGCCTCCATGGCCCGTGGTGCTGCGAGCAGAGCCAAGCTGGGGTATCGATGACATGGGAGCACAGTCACTACAACTGCTCTATGAAAGCACGGAGGACAGGGGAGAAATCAGAGGTCTGATGCCCGTCTCACCGTGCTGCTCATCCATTTTTAGCTTGAACGGAGAGCTTTTTAGTGAAAGTTATATGTAGTTAGTGCAGGGGTGCTCAAACTGGGGTCCCTGGACTCTCCTGGGGTCCGTGAGCCGGTGCTTGGGGGTCCACAGGGGAACAAAAAATATATATATATATATATGTTTTTAATAAAAAAAATAAGTGTTAAAATACACCAAAATGAAGGAAATCACATCTACTTTATTCAAAATTTTCTGGGTGAGGACCCCCAGACAACGATCCGTTTACAAATTAAGCCCTGCTACTTGGTGTGACTCCTGCCGTTATGATTCTGTTCAGTTTTCTGTAATAATTTGAAGTGGTAATACATTTATTATGTTCATTATATGAAGAGGTAACGTTTTAAAGTGGGTTTTGATACTGTTAATGTTCTCAAAACTGTCATTTTTGGAAGATGAAATTAAAAATGTTGTTAATTAAGTGTGTCTTGAATGAAAAATACCCCATGTTTAAAAGTAAAACAAAAATTGTATTAACACGACAGAGAAAGAAAGAACAGGTCTTAAGTTTTTATGTGACAAATATTTCCATTCCATTAAAGAGACAAATTGAAGAAAATTATTTAATTAACATGAGGGTTATGAGTGGGTCCCTGAAACTTTTTCTCCCCTGTAAGGCGTCCGGTTCCTGGACCCAAAAAGTTTGAGAACCACTGAGTGAGTCTATTAATGAATCAGGTGTTTTTTCGTTTAAATTTGGAAACAAATCTCTCCAAAGATAAAAATCTGTTGAATTTGTGTCAGTGAACTGATGGAGGTAAAAAAAAAAAAAAGTTTTTAGACTCTGATCTGATTTTCGCCACCTTTTGAACACTTTACATGTAGAGTGCATGTCTATTTCCTTTCAATTAAATCTCTTTGAAAATTTAAAAAGGGGGGGATGGGCTATTATAATATAAAGACATCTGGTATGTCCTCCCAGAAAAATGACCAAAGTATTCCCTCCATTAATATTTATCTTTTTATCCATCTTTCTTGCAGTGCAGCATTTTCAATCTTATTTCTCTCTTTTCCTATTTAACCCTTCTTCTTTTTTTTTGTCATTGCTTCCACAGCTCTTTCTTTTTATAATTTAGATTTTTTTCCTTTCATTCCTGATCGTAAACACCCACCCCAGAGATTGCTCTCTCATCCTTTCACCCCACCCTCACTTTTCCACATACTGTCATATTTCTGATCTGGTTTTTATTTGTTTTTGTCCTTCCTTCACTCTTGTTCCTCTCCCGTTGTGTTGTGATTGTAGGCAGGCTGGCGACAGCTGCGACAGCAGACAGTCGGGCTGCGGGCGTCAGCAGCAGCAGGGAAGGGGCGAAGGGGAGATGATGTTAGAAGAGGTGGTTCCCTTTGCGTTACTGGGAAAGTTAAGTTGAGCAAAAGGGAGATAGAACTGGCTCAGCATCCCATCCTGGATCTGAATCCAGTCTGTGTTGATCCACATGGGGTTCCTGCTGTGTCTGTCAGGCTGCTGATGCGCTGAGTCAGACGGCTGGGACCGGAGACGGTGCACCTAAACATCCGGCTGTGTTTAATGTGCAGCGAGATGGAGAGGAAGATGTCTGGAAACTGTGAGGAGATCTAGGAGGAGCACTGTTGAATCACATTACACCTGTTTATTCATGAGAGAGGAGGATGAGTCTCAAGAGAAAATGAAGAATGGAAGGAAGGGGAAAGAATCATTAGAATTTAAGTAACTAGGCTTCGTTTGTCTTAGTGTTCTCAAATTAGATTTATTTAAGAGAAATAGACGAACAAAAGTTTTGAAAAGAAAAATAGTCTGAAATTTTTGATTGAACTGTGCCCTGCATGAAAACCCAGAACCCATTTCTTTTTATTAGCTGCGATGATGTGTTTTTACTGTCACTCTGCACCTTTTGTGCCGTGTTTTGGGAAATATGTTTTTTTGTATTTTTGTGTGTTTTTATTTGTCAAGCACATAATAGTTTGGTGCTGTATGTGGAGACTGCTTTGTTGAAAGATATAGCAAAAAAAACAGGTGGAAAATCCTCCGTGTCCTTTTAAACAGGAGCACAGGAGAGGATTCTCATAGGGGCATGAGGGTGTTCACGTTTAGGCGGCCCTCTCTCTCTCCAGGTTTCAGTTTGTGACCTCTGCTCCTGTTGTCATAACAACAAGTTAATGACACAGCAGTCTGTGCTGGATCGTAGCTGGAAAGAACACAGGACAGAGAGTTAACTGGTCTAGTTTTCATGGCCAAGAGCCGTTTTTCCATTTTCCAATCTCACCACTACTCGCTTCACCTCCTCTCAGGCCTGCGTGGTCCAGGTGTATATGTATATGTATATATGTATATATATATATATATATATGTATATGTATATATATATATATATATGTATATGTATATATATATATGTGTATATATACGTATATGTATATATATATATGTATATATGTATGTATATGTATATATATATATATATATATGTATGTATATGTATATATGTATGTATATGTATATGTATATATATATATGTATGTATATGTATATATGTATGTATATATGTATGTATATGTATGTATATATGTATGTATATGTATATATATATGTATGTATATGTATATATATATGTATATATATATATGTATATATATGTATGTATATGTATATGTATATATGTATATGTATATATATGTATATGTATATATATGTATATATATATATGTATATGTATATATATGTATATGTATATATGTATATATATGTATATATATGTATATGTATATATGTATATATATGTATGTATATGTATATGTATATATGTATATATATGTATGTATATATATATGTAT